GACACAGTCACGAAAAAAAGAGAAGGGGGTTCTCTCACCACGATAGGCGCCTCCGATGTAAAGTCCCGTTGTTGCGCCTCCTCTACAACAGGACGTCCTCGTTTCCCGACACCTCTGGTTCCGAATCCGCTGAATCGTCTGGGTTAGACTCGGGCGCCGCTTGTAGTGCCTTGGAAAATTTGGGTTTGGCAACCCCTTTCTTAGGTGGTGTTGCCGGCTTGTCTTTGGACTGTGGGGCTTTTTCCCTCATCTGGCGAGTACCAGAATCCGCGGCGAAGTGGCCCTTCTCCCCACATTTCAGGCATAGCCCCATTTTCATCCGTAGGTCATGCGCAGCTTCTGACAGTCGCGGGGTTCTCGGCTTCGGAGTGGGTGCCTGGCTCACCTTCCCTCCGCTGGCTGCTGTGTCTAGGCGTAATGTCTGAAGGCGGCTCTCAGCATTCTCCGCTTCTTGGGTCCATGCCTTCAGCGAGCGGGGGTCGACAGATCTCAGTACCGTCTCTCTGATCTCTGGATTCAATCCCACACGATACATCTCGACTAGGATGTGATCTGGCCAGTCTCTCAGCTTTGCCGCTTGGTTTTGGAATTCGGCTGTATATTCTCTAACCGATCGGCACCCCTGTTTAAAGGTGCGCAAGAAAGCTTTGGCTCTCTGGTCTGCATTCACGTCTTCAAAATGAGTTCTCAATGCCCACATAAAGGTCCGTAAATTGAAACGTTCTGGGCCCTGGCTGTTGTGCAACCCCACATACCAGGTAGCCGCCACTCCTTTCAGTCTCGCGGCTATCACGTCAATTCGGCTACTGTCATCCGGGAACAAGTGGCCATGCTGAGCAGCAAATTTCTGCACCCTCACTGTGAAGAAAGCGAGATCTTCAGGGTTTCCGTCCAACGTAGCATCCAACAGGTCTTTTGGCCGCGCCCGCGGTCCCATCAGCATGGGTCCCGGCGCCCCTGGTCCTCCCGGTAAGGGAAGAGCAGGTGTCACCGGGGCTCCCGTTTGCGCTGGCAGGATGGGTGGTTGCTGGCCTGGTGGGACCTGTGGTGGTGGAGCCGGTTGGGGGGGTGCTTGCTGTGGAATCAACGGTGGTTGTAGTGGTTGCTGGAAAGCTTGCGCCGCCGCTGCTTCTGCGATACGTATGTCTATCATTCTCGGTAAAGCTTCAAAGACATCAGCTACCGTCCGCATCAGCTGTTGCATGGTCTGGTCGATGTCCTCAAGTCGGTCTCCCATCGTCTCGTGCTCCCCAGCCAATGCCTGTCGGCTCTCCCTCTCGTCCAGCCAGTCCATGCCCAAGAGATCTTCCTCTCCTCTGGGCCAACTCCCAGGGTTCCTTCCGCGGTACAGTCCTTGGTCGTACAGGCTCTCGCGGAGCCCACTCCCGCGATGCGAAAAAGTTTCACGTGTGCTCCGCGAGTCAAACCTAGTCCAGTCGTCCCAGGCGGGTGCAGCTCCTTTCCCCCATTTAGAAGGGGTCGGAGGTGGCCACGCGAGAGGTGCGGACTTCGGCATGGCTCCCCCCACCGCTCCCGTCGCTGGCACCGAGACCGGTACCGACGTAGCTGTGGTGGTAGGGGGACTGGAGGTGACCGGGGTGGACCCCTCCGTTGTTGGTAGTTTCTCCTCTGCCCCGCTCATGATCGCTCAGACTCGGGGCAATGAAGAAAAGGGGATTACTAACAAACTGCCCGATTCCCCATGCATTCAAAATAAATCCACGGTTGATGAACAAAGTAGAATTTATTGTAAAGCGATGGTTAGATCAGGAACAGAAGAATTGTTAGTAATGACTACCGGTTTCACAGGGAAACATAATAAAGGAACTTGAACCAGGTTAAAGCCAATGAGCCCAATTCCCGCTGGCGGGAATGTAGATAAAACGAGCGCCCAATTCCTTGGGAACACAACGGTTCTACAACATAAACACAAGTTCAGTTCTCAGGCATCCAATACATAATAAGCAGAGCAACGCCATAACTCCTTCCCACCTCCAGCTGTGTGACCTTGAGCAGTTCCGCAGCGTAGCCAGCAAAGACAGTAAACACCTACTGAGGGGAACACATGGGGGGGAATGACCAGAGCATAAGGTAACATGTAAAATAGCACACACCACTCAATGGCAGCTTGCTGACAAGGGTAAGCATTAGAGGGGCTGGTGGTGCCTTGTTACCCTGGGCAGTGGGGATTCACTCCCCAGTCTTGTGTGTTCTGCTCTTGACCTTCACCCAAAGCCTTCTTGTGGGACAAGGGGGCTTGGATAATGGTGAGCTCCTTCAGCTTTTCAGTAACGTTAGGGGTACCCAAACAGAGCAGATTGCTAAAACCCATTCATGGCAGCGCAAGTATTTAATATGTACATGAGCATGAAGCTGAATTCTGAATTGTAAATGTTGCAAGACTGGCTTTGGTGCCACTTTTTTCGTGTCTGTGATTGCCATTGTCTCAGTTACAGACTAGTAGTGAAATAAATTTATGAGAAGAGAACGTGCATTCTAGTGTAGAAGGCTGAGCGCATGAAGCTCTGAGGAAAATGGTAAGAAAACCAGCTGGATTCAGAATCCTGACCAGTGTTCCCTCTAAACTGAGTTAGTATGAGCTAGTTCACAGTTTTTTAGTCTCTGGCTCACACATTTTTTGTCTTAGCTCACGAAGGAGGGCTCCAGAGCCAACTAATTTATGCAGCAGCCAAATTGCTCGCCCACAACTTTCATGCCGGTAGTGCACAAAGTAGAATTTTTGCTCACAGGACTCCACAGCTTAGATGGAGCATTGATCCTGACCTAGAGAAGTTCCGTCAGAACAGGGGTGGCAGATCTCATTGGGAATCAGGG